GCTGCCATGCATATGCATGAAACGATGCAAGCGAAGTCATGGAAATAGGAGCACCAATTTTAAATTGGTGAGAAGAGTTAATCACCCACCGGGGAGAGATCTGAGTTCCCCCATTAGCACTATTTACCCTTTACTGCCCCACTTAGTCGAGAATGGGCTGGATTTCCATCGAATTAGAAACTTGCCTAGAGGGGTAATCCGATCCGTAGAACATGAATATTGCATCCACTCGTCATAAAGATGCCTAGCGGTCGCGCCACTGGCCAAATGGAGCTGGGTCACCAATCTTGCTGAAACTTGCCCCCAAGTGGTGTGTTAGAACATGGATATCATACTTACACTGCAATGTTCGTGTTCTATGTATGAGTCAGATTACCCCTCTAGGCGAGTTTCTAGTCGGTTTCATCTTGTCGAAAAAAATTCGTTAGAAATCCAGCATATATTGGGGCAGTAACGGGTAAATAGTGCCAAATTCCCAAATGATTTTCCCAGGGAGCTCTCAAAATTTGCTTGGAGATAGTTTCAGTTGAACTGATGCAAAGTAATGCTCTCCCTTGTAAAACAAAAATTGTGGGTTTGCTCCCAAGGTGACTGCACAACGCGCTCTTATCCGAGGAAAGGATTTATAACAATCTTTAATATTGTCCAAGTCATCTCCTTATTTAGGCTATCTTTCACGCCCATCGCACTTTAGACTGGAATTATGACATATTTTTATTGCATGGGAAACGCCTTTAGGCCTTGTGAAGGTCTGTAAACACAAGACTGGGAACAACTTTCGAAAAGACCCAGCAAATTGAAGTCGACTTTTGCCATACGACGATTGGGTAACGGAACTTTTCCCCGATTGCGGCATTCTCCCTTGCGGCATGCGGCAAATGTCACTGCAATTACCGTACTCACCCCGCCTCCCGCCAATCGATAGGACGCGATATTTTTCCTTGACTTCCTTTTTCCTTTTTCCTTGGATTTTATCGTTTTTTTTTCTGTTTCTTTTTAGTTTTCATGTTTATTGGACTTGATTAATTAGAATGACTCCTCCTATATAAACGACGATCAGGATCGCATTGGAACTGAAGAAAGCGGCCGGCCAATTCAAATGTTTAAAGGACTCCCCACCTCACAAATTGCGCGCTCCAATTTTCCATCGCAATCCTGCGATAGGCGGCGGGTGCGGTGTGTGCGACGCCGTGTTAAGGGAGAAGTTCCCGAACCCCGAAGGATTTGCATAGAGGATACACTCCAGCCCTGAGTGGGATTTCATCAGAGGATCCAAATTACTCAGATTAGAGGATCCTTGGAATAATTCGTATTATATTTTAGCTGCCCTGGGTGTCCTCGATTTTAACATTCACGAAGAGGTGAAGCAAGTGGCCCTTTGGCCAGAAAAACTGCAGGTACATGCAATTCCATCCAACAGCAAGCACCTGGGAGGTTTCCAGACGAACAGTTATCGATCGGCAACCGAGCAGGAACATTGTAATTTGCCAAGCCTATTTCGAAATGCTATGCCTCTAGCATGGAAGGGTATGTAGCAGTGAATTGCAGGTATTCACTGTGAGATCCTTTCGGAGTTCACTGCGATAGGCGCAAGTCTTCTGTTACCAGATGAAAGAGATGGTCTTTTGAGCCCTTATTTCTCACCGAACAGAAGGAAATTTTTGCTTGTGATGGGTAGTGCTCGACCACTTGAGCTGAAAAAAATTAGTATAATCTGGAAACCCGCAACTCACATATTCATCTGGCCTTGGCCCATATGACTGCCATACTTTCAGAATCCCATGGGCCCATCGGCCTGTTCTACTGGAAAAAAATTCACCAGCTGTCCAGAGGTAGGTAGGTGGTAGTTGAACGAATTGCGTCTCGTTTTTCTTCATATTGGAGGAATAGCATCAGTGCCCATTCGTTCGATGGAGAGACATAGTGGCCAGGAAAGGCCATGATCTTGATCTCCGATCTTAGTTTATGGCAGTAGTTACTTTGTATTGAAAAAACCAAATGAAATTTCTCAAAACTTTCGGGACATTCTAATATTTTCGTCTGTCGTCGATATTTCGGCCATTATATCGGAAGATGTTCGTCTGGGATCTTGCATGAACGTCCGCAGGGGTGGTAATCCATGGCCTTCTTATAGTGGCTCATTTGATCGGACTTCCGCGAGGCTCAATTCTTCCGATAGCCTTCGTAATCTTCGTAATCGCTGACCACGGCACCCAAACGGCTTTGAACGGTGAGCATGCGCCAATCCCTGCATGGTGCGTGCAGCAGGCAGGCAATGACGGAAAGCTGTTCTACGGTCAGAGAGCAAGATACAGTAGTGGTCCCATCCTTAAAACCGATCTACTTTCGGAGCAGAGGACCAGTGAGCATCTCTAGATTCAAAAAATAACTCAGGAAAACGAGCCTCCCCCAAAACAGGCCACTCTCGCGAAATCCAAAAATATGGTCTGGTGAGCCGGAGGTGAGCTCTCGCTTATTTTGCATCGCGACAGAGGTGGGAGAAATATTCTGTCGAATAATTAGTCAAGCACATTGAGTTTGAGATGAGTTATGGCAAAATAGGTTCATAGTGATTTTTTTTGAAGAGTACGGTATGTTGGAAATTTGAAGAGCGCACTGCCCGAGGTGATATTTGGCTATATGGGAAAGCAGTTTTTGACAGGACGAGTACTGTGGCCAACTCAACAAATTGCTCTTTTTGAAAATCAAAGCGCTCTTCTGCTCCAAAATCTAGGATACCAAATCCGACTAAGTTTAAGATGCTTTTACTTCACGGTTTCTGCGATGTTCTCGCTTTCTCCACCATCGATGCACTATTGTGCGCTAGTACCTACATTCTATATTTTTCTAAACTGATGGTACAGCTTACTATAATTTTGAGATGTATTTTCAAATGTAAACAGCGGAAGGTTTGGTACAGGACAATGCATTCAGGATGAAAAAAGCGAGAATGACATAAACTCCACCGAATATATGGCTTTTTAGAACTAATTATTTAAATTTGACGGTAGTAAGTTATGCCGGCAAATGGGCATGTTGAAACATGATCCACTTCTTGTGCAATTGTGAGAATATTCAGTTTGTTACAGTACCCCGAAGATTTGCCTCAACTAGGAAAATGGGTCAGGGATCGGAGGTGTTAGCGTTTTCAGCTTGGGCGTCACATTGTAAATAGTGCAGCTTCTACGAGTCCTACGCAGTCTGAGCTGCACTGCAGCCCTCGCTGCTCCTTATCTGAACCTTTCTACACACATTAGTTCTTCTTTTCACTTACTTCTTGATGTATTGCTCACCGTTTAAAGCCGTTTGGAGTGCCGTAGTCAGCGATTACGAAGATTACGAAGGCTATCGAAAGAAGTGAGTTTCGCGGAAGTCCGATCAAATGAGCCAGTACAAGAAGGACGATCATGCGCCGCGCCAAGATCCCAGACGAACATCTTCCGATATAATGGCCGAAATATCGACGACAGACGAAAACATTAGAATGTCCCGAAAGTTTTGAGAAATTTCATTTGGTTTTTTCAATGCAAAATAACTGCTGCCATAAACCAAGATCGGAGATCAAGATAGTGGCCCTTCCTAGCCACTATGTCTCTCCATCAAACAAACTGGGCACTGATGCTATCCCTCCAATATGAAGAGAAGCGAGACGCAATTCATTCAACTACCACCTACCTGACCTCTGGACAGCTGGTGAATTTTTTTCCAGTAGAACAGGCCTATGGGCCTATGGGATTCTGAAAGTATGGCAGTCATATGGGCCAAGGTCAGGTGAATATGTGAGTTGCGGGTTGCCAGATTATACTAATTCTTTTCAGCTTAGGTGTTCGAGCACTATCCATCACAAGCAAAAATTTCCTTCTGTTCGGTGAGAAATAAGGGCTCGAAACACCATCTTTTCATCTGGTAACAGAATACTCTTGCGCCTACCGCAGTGCACTCTGAAAGGATTTAACAGTGAAACACCCTTTGAGCAGAAGAATGAGCTCATGTCCTGCTCAGCGTGAACGCCTCGTTTTATAGCGGGCCGTGACCTTGAGTCCGCTGTTAGGCACTGCCATTTCCTGAGTGGTTCTTCATATGATATCTACTTTTTGTCCTGAGCAATAATGAAGACAACCGATGTCGTCGTTCGCTTACAGTCGAGGGGCTTCTGACAAGCATTAACTCGCACTCGACACTCCTGTGCAGTCAAGGGTGTGCGATATTTGCAAAGAATCCAGCTTTCAAAGTGCCTTTCGCGTTGATGGATAGGAAGTAGAAATCGTCTTTTCCGAATCCTGCTACTTTGAACAGGATCGCTCTGACAGGAGACCAGAACAGTGTCCGCAGAACAGTGGACGTTCGCTTCAACAACTTCGTCGGAGCGAATCTCTTCTCGATCGTGCCATTTGTGGTAGGCGGCAAGAGAGGATCACCGCTGTCAATCAAGCACCATACCTCATTCCCATTCTCAGTATCCAAGCGATCAGTTCTACGATGGGGAAGAAGAAGACCCCGAAACTTTTATTAATTCCACATCGTTAGGTTTACTTACTCCCCATGACGACGTCAAACACGCCTTTTTCTGCTATCGAATCTATATCGGAGAGAGGCAAAACCTCCTCAAAACTTTCCGGACATCCTAATTCTGTACTCGACTCCAATGGGCGCACCTCCACTGGACACTCGACCAGCGGTTTGTTAACTTGACTCATCTGGAGGGATGAGTCAAGTTAACAAACCCTACAGTCTAGAAGAAGCAATATCGCCCATCCCTGACCATATAAAATCACAATAGTCAATTAATATATGCCCAAAGCGAAAATTTCTACTTTCTATGGCTCCGACTTGTTCTGAAAAGCTGTTGTAAATTTGGCGGTTGAACTAGGAAATGAAGAGAAGAAAGGTCGTACTATAGCTTATGCAGAGAAAACTTAATGTATGTATGTTCATATTTGTGGAGAAGAATCGATCCATTATTTGTGAGAGTTCAAGGCGAGCTTTTTGAAGATCCTGATTCATAACTCACCAGGAGGAGGATCAGCGACGAAACCCACGCAGCCGTAGTGGAACCATTTCCTTTCACAACCCTTAGCGCTACAAGCCACCATATTACCGTAGGCCATCTAAAATCGCCGATTTAGAAGCCCCCAGAAGCAACGAGAGACAGCAACACTAATCCTAAGATCTTCGAGAAAAAAACCAAAACCTTTCTGCAGACGCAGTAGAGTTTTTTGTCTTTTCCCTCGCGATAAATGGTGACTTTGTCTTCGGAAGACCTCTTTGCGTTTCTTTGATAGCTGCCTGCGAACATATAAATGATGTGATTATTTAATTGAAGTTGGAACATTCAATTGCAGTACCATTTCTAGCACGGCCGCGACGATTTCCTTTCTTCGTAGTTTTCAGGGCCGTTTCATTTCTTTTCCAATACGACTCACTCTTTTCTTTCTTTTTCGAGCCCATCTGATCGTCCTCTCGACAGTCTTTTACAGCTGGCTCGCGAACGTCTCTGGTTGGAACTCGACCAGATTTTTCCATAATTATTTGAATTCTTCTTTTCTCAGCATTACGAGTGCGTGAGGCAACACCGGTTGGGAAAAAATATGCCCACTTTAGGTCATCTTCTAAACATCTCTTCTTTGCCGCGATCCCTTTGTCAGTCGACAACGTTTCCATCATCGGTCCCTCAGTGACTGTCGAACTTATTACATTCGATGAGTTCAAAGTAGGGGCCAAATCACGTTGACAAAGAGGGTAATGAGCAACTCGATGAATTGCGAAGGATGTCTGCGATGGCCCGAAATCTCCCTTTGGTGGACATTCGTCTGAAGCTAAGCTATCAGACGAGATTGTGATGACGGAAGATGAAGTTGTTGTGTCCGAGCGCCCCGCGAATGGGGAAGGGGCACGCTTTCGATTGGAAATGTTCGAAAAAGTTGTGTTATGTTGTGTCTCTATTAAATGTTCAACACTTTCCATTTTAGGATCCACTATGTCAGCGCAAGCCGATTGAGGCGCCTTGAGAGGAATATTAGTTAAGGGAGTCAACGATGATCCGGGCAACGGCGAAAACTCATCAGCAGCACCATCTGGAGCACAGTCCGCATTCTCCGGAAGTCGACCCTCTAGCAAATTGATCATTTTGACAGCAGTCATGTTGAAGTTGCCTGATACAGGGCAGATTGAGCTTTCCCAAAAATATTCAACTTTTAAAAAGCTGCAAATTATAACCCACTGTCTAGGCCAGGAGTTTCAAACCAAGGAGTAGTACAGTAACTATTTCCAACCAGGCCTGGTTCTGCAGATGCCAAAAAAGTCGGCATTCGAACAGCCACTTGAAGGTTCCCATCATTTGGCGTTGCAGAGAGCCTACTTGCAGGTTTCGAGCCCTCACCTGAATAGACGAATTCGCACATCAAACGTTTCTGTGATGAGAAGCTCCAGAGGGAAGATTATTCATGTTGTCCTACAGCTGCGCCTCCGATTATGATGTCTTGTTGACATATAACTCATGAATTTCACATGCTATCGTTGCCAACCCTTACTATCTCATTTCGTTGTAGATAACTTACCACATATGCACTATATACTTACTCTACTGATTACCTGACACTTTTGCAGCGGTCGCAGCAGCATAACTTCAGAGCGACAGATCGAATGACACTTACAGCTTCCTTATAAGTTAATGCATAACGCCTCTACAGAGGGAGCCTTCACTTTCGCGTGTACTGCGTCACTGAATGCTTGTTCCCTCCTTCACGTGCTACGACGAAGGCACTGATAGCAGCGTTCACCTCTCATGCCGAATTTGCTTTAGTTCTTCCCACTTCGTTAACATCATAAGTATGGGGCAATATGGTGTTACCTGTCAGGGTGTACGGCGGGCCACCGGCCAGTGGTGTGTAAGAGAGGGACGGCATAAATGGCAGTCCAGTATCGACACGTAGATTTCCTGCAAAGTAAAGATATGCGGATGCAGAACAGACCATTCGAAGATTGAAAGCGTATAAAAAAAAGATATGAACAAAAAAGGATACCATAATAGATGTTCCTAGTTTTTTCAGAGACATAGCTAACAGAGGTTGCTCGCGGATAGCCCGTGAATGGCAATAAAGGACCAGCACGTGGAAATCCTTAAAATAAAAGTGTATGGGCAGAGAAAAGGATATTGCTACAGACAAAACGTACTCCAGTTATCCTGATTAGCGGGTGGGACATTAGCAAGCCCACTTTCAGCACTTCTGGAAAACACCGAATCATTGGCCTGATTCTGGTCATTTCCATTGAATCCAACAGGCCTATACTTCATGAACTCAGCGGCCAGATTGCGACGCGGACCGTGACGACCTGAAGGCGGAGCGCTGTGAAATAAATGTAAATCTACTGTCTTGTACGCATGCCTACATGTGGAAGTAGCCGAAAATTGGTGCTCACATTATCTCTGCATTTACACAAAACAACCTTTAACTCAAATGGATATGGGTACACACGTGCGTCCGAGTATGCGCGCGGCAAATTGCGCGATTCCAACAACTCTGGTGCCTTTTATCGAGGCACAAACTTGAAGTACAGTAGTTTAGTGGGGTTAGCCGATACTACTAATCTAGTCTACTTCGAATTTGGGCCCCAATGCTATTCGCTAAGGTCGTTCAAATCGCCAAGCACTTCGCCGCGCAATATGCCGCGCACATCCTCGGACATACGTAAGTTCCGTCCCCCAACTCAAATCAGTCGCATAACTTGAAAAGCTCTCCATAAGCTATCCCTTAAATGAAAAATTCCACTTATGAAGACGAAGAATGAAGTAATATCAAGTCCGCAGCTTGTTATTTTTCACCCATCCATTCTGATTTAGAATCCATTTCAAACTGCTTAATACAATTCGAAGAAAATAGGTTACCAATACATCATGAAGCAAGAATAGGCCATAAGAAGTAATGGTTGATTACCTTCCCACTAATTACATCAAAAAAGTTTAGAGAAAAGATTGGAACGAAGGAATGGGATTCATGCTAGTTGCACCATTATTCTTAGCTAGTTGCCACTATTATGTTGCAGCCATCTGAAAAGGAACTAGACATGGCTGCACAAATAAAGTACCTTTGTTGAACACCAGTTGGAGAGCACTGGTGGTGGGCTCTTGCCATTTCACGGCATAATCAGTTTTCACTTCGTTGAAAATGTTCGGTGAGCGAAAGTATAGCGGATCGTTTGCAGCAGATGTAGGCACTGATATCGGAACCAAAGCCAACGAGACAGATTTCTTTTGCGCTTCACTAACACCCTGATCCCGATCTGAATAAACTCATGGAAGGCAAGGTAAGATAAGCTCCGGAGAAACGCGTTCTCACCGCCTTGTTCATGACCTTCGTTCACAGCTTCATTGCCGCCGGCGCTCTCGTTCACAGTCACGGTTTGTAAAGAAGGGTCGCTTTCGAGTTCATTCCCCTGCAATCATAAACAATGAACATAGGAATTGAGTTGAGAAAAGAAGAGGGAATTTCATGCATCGGTTTAAGGACCAAAAGCTGGAATCGAATAGCTACCGAAAATATGTTAGTGTTATTTGAAATGAGAGACGAGGAGAAACTTAGTCGCGAGCATGCATTTCATACAGACGAATTCTCACATTGGTGGCTGCGGGAATTAGCAATGCACTTTATTCTTACCAACAAATATCCTCAAAGCAGCCAATGATTCATAGCTTTTGGGCATGAATTGGCCTGTAAATCAGTTCGATATAGAATTTCTTTCAATTCCAGTACAGGACAAGCTTGTATTGGAAGCTCCCATATTTCCATTCAGTGCTAAATTGCTACATCGCATTACCATCGAAAATCTCAGCACAACGTCAGGTCATAGCATGCATTAATAGAATTTCCTTATTCAGAAAGATTGAAGAAACTTTTCCAACTTACATAATTCTTCACATCCGAGCGATTCACGTCGTCACCAGCGCATGTCTTGGGATCCGGGAGCTCACCGGCATTCTCATTCGCTTCAGTGTTTGAATCCATCGAAACTTTTTTTCACTTCGCTTCTCTTGATACCTTAAAATGAGTCGTCTAGCATTTATATCAGAAAGAAACTAACTTTGTATCGTGGGATTACTTAAACGAATAGAAGGCGAACACCGTAATCTCAATGGAGTGTCCCGCCTCTCACTACCAGCCGCGGAATGGCTACACCCACACGTTGTTGTCTGGGCCCACTTCCGATCAGCCGATCAGCCAGTACTTAAACTTCCTGACCCCCATTTCCAAATACATTCCCCTTCCCCATCCCACTTCAGCGGCAATATATCTCCTTAAACTTATCACTAGACTCACCTGTAATAAGCGGCTTTGTTATTAGCAAGAGTTAGAGGATAGCAATAGGAAAAAATCAAATGAAACACAAGCAAACAATGAAGATGTGAAATTATAGTAGATTCGAACGCCAAGGTACCATCGTCGAGGAAATGAGTCATAGCTTCAAGCGTTATTACGTTTAGTCGATACGCAGCGAAATTTGAAATGAGCGAAATTCCCTTTTTTCAGAAGTTAGCGTTGGAGCACGTTTTCTCGCTAAGCCATCATTGAATACCTATAGACTTCCAGGTTCCAGTGAACAGTATGGAGGCCATGATTTGCTGAATGGTGACAATTTGAAGAAAAAAATCGCACAGAAAAAACTACACTCCAAAAAATAAAAAAATACCCTCCAAAAATGGATGTAAGCCAGTTTAAGTCAGCGGTAAAGCCTAGACCTCGCATCGACAGGTTAAACTGAGTTGGACGAACGTAGGAAGAAGAAAAAGAAAATCATTGAAAACAAGGAGTAAACAAGTATGAGACAAGTTTCACTGCACTGGAACTAAAGCAGAAAGTTGAGCTTTTTGTCCGAATCAGCAGGCAGAAAGTAGATCGACACCAGTAAGGAGGAGCCAGCTTGTAAGCAGTATTTCTTAATAATGGCTTCTTCGCAAAGGGGCCCCAGCCTCATGAATTAAAACAAAAAAAGCCCAATAAATATAAAGTGTAACGTGTTCCTAATTTTCGAAATAGGGAGCACAAAACGGCAGTTAACAGGCAATCATGTTTCAGTAACAAAAAGTCTCTATCAGAAAATGATACTCAATGGAATTGAACTTGCTACTTTGCCGTGCACCGCTCTAAAGAAGACAGCATTTGTAGAGAAACAACTCAGACATACTCAGACAACAAACTGTAGAGATACAAAAAAACTCTACCATTCCAGAAGTTGGCCAACATTTTGCTTGCTGACTTTTTTACCCGTGAAGTTTGCTTTTGATTAACTCTACAATGAAACATTGGCAATTAAAAATTAGAGCGGAGGCGACTGAGGGAGAGAAATTACTTCAACGAATAGAATGACGGTCACCGTAATCTCACTAGATTGCAAAGCCCCCATTGGTGGCAGCGGAACAATTACAGCGAGACGCTAGCGGCAGAGCCCCCGCCTCTGATCAGCAAGTGCTGACAAGGCTGTCTAGCTACTATGTTCATTCATATTGTTCCCCCCTTAAAAGTATACATTTCGACTTTGATTGTAGACTAACGGTAAATAAGCAGCTCTCTCACCAGTGGGAAGGAGAAATTCGTTAGCAACAGAAGGAAGACAAGAGTAATACAAGCAAGAAGCGAGCAATCAAATTTTTGACCCAAAATTTAACATAGATGTAAGAAATTTTGTGACTGATCAGGATACCTCAGAAAGTTGTCACATATGCAGTTCAAAAGTAGCAAGCCACCGAGGGAAATTCCTAGCCTTCTCGTTGGCGTTGGAGCACGTTTTCTACCCAGGTCATCCTTCGTACATAATATATGATACCTAAAACTTATTACTTACCGATAAACCTTGGTCCCTCCCTATCTTAGTTGAGGCTTTAAAAAATTGGCGTTTCCAGGATCACTTAAATCTACAGCCTACAAAAAAAAATCCTCAAGTACGAAGAAATATTGGAAAGCCGGCTATGTTGACAAGCACGATTTGAGAGATCGCATACCCCAAAATCAGCAGGTCGACTAATTAGGACTATGTGGCGAGAAAGTCTTCATTAAAACAGAGGAGAATCGACCTTTGAAGGAGTTCCCCAAAAATCAGGCCAAGGCGGGAAATGAAGTCTCTTTTTGCGTTAGTGTGAGGATCAAAAGGATTACGACTTTGCGAGTGATGGCTAGTAGAGCTTGTGGTAGCAACATGAACCGATTGTATTTGTTTGCTGAAAGCAGCGTATATAAAAGGAAATCATTAAAAAGTCACAGAAGCAGAGAGAAATTTGATACTACAGAGCATTAGGAGGTATGTAGTAAGTTATACGGAAGACGATGAATTCACGAGCGCCGCCAATGGTAAACTGGAGAAGCGTCGGACGTGTCGATGTTTACTACTTTTCCTGATTACCACACTATTTCGAGAAGGGCCTGTTCTACTGAATAGTAATGGAATAATGGGTGCACCAAGATGTGAAATGACTGCGGCATTGAGAAATCAGTGAAACCTAGAAATATGTCAAGAAATTCATTTATCAGGCATCTTGAAACGGGAAGCTTTCAAGTCATAACTGATAGAATTGTATGATCAGAAACAAAGCTTAACAGTGACGGCTTTCCGTGTACCCTGACCTTTTGAGGGCGACTCGGTCATAGTATGCTTGTCTTACACTATAAATAGTAACACTTTGTTTCTGTATGCTACATGTAAAGTTGTGAATTTCCTGAAAAGGGGATAATATTTCAAAAATGCACCGTGAGTAAATTCACGTACAATGTTGGCTTTGAGATAGTTTCGATTTTGAAGTGGGACAAGCGCACAAAAGCGATTGAGGCCACTAATGAATCGGTAATATGTGATCTTCCCGTTTCTGAGAATTATTTTAAATGTATCGTATTTCTTTCATTTGTGAAATAAGGTAAATGAAAGCCAAAGGAAAGCCGTAGCTGTTAAAAAAGCGTGGCATTGATCACTATCAGTAGAACAGCAATTTAAAAGCCAGTAGTAGGGCGAGAAAATTGTCAGCTCAGTGTGCAAGCTTCTCTCAGTACAGCCTCATCAAGTATGATCACCCAAGAATAAACTATGCTCCAACCCATGCCATATATTCGTTCTACTTCGGATTACGCTTTGAGAGCGGCATCGAATTCTTTTTTCTCTCTACTGCGTTATCTAATAATAGTATTATAAAAAACCAAATTGAGAGAAAAAGATGATATCCTAAAGCAATCAAAAAAAGTTATCGTTCTGATGGGTAGGACACCGAAGCCTTCCAACAAATGTATGCCTATTGGCTGTTTCCAGACTTCAACGACGCAACCGACGGCGGTGTTGCTGGCTATGTGTTGACAACACTGAACGCCGACGGATCACGAGCCGGTATTGTCAATAAGTGGCTAGCGCCGCCGTCGGTCGGATGCGCGCTCGCGCTCGTCGGTAACTTCGTTGAAGTAAGAAGGCAGCCATTGGGTACCCAATGGCTGCCTTCTTACTTCAACGACGGTACACAATGGTACACACACTACCAAAGGAGAATCTTTTAATGCAATCTTATAATGACCGTTGCACAGGGAGGTTACTGACTGGATCACTCAGCACACGTCAACCGAACGCTGCCAGCGCGATGGTGCGACTTCTTCACGGAAGCTCTGGGGTAAGGTATGCTCCCCCGAACAGGGTCGGGTCCCCTTCCCGGTAAGGTATGCTCTCGGGGAGAGCTTTCGGGGAGAGGCCACGCCCACTGATTCGAGGGGAGAACTTCCCGAACAACGCGCGATCGGGGCTAGCCGGAACTACCGTAATCCCGTGACCATAGAGTGCGGAATTGTCTATAGGGCGCGCAACTCTTCTACGGTTTACGAATTGTTTCACTCCCCTTTTGAACATTCCTTGGTTTTCATGCATTAAACGGTTTCATTTGTACTTATTGTTCTCACGCGATATTATATTATGCTCAACCATGAATTTTATCCGTGATATTGCTGTCGTTTCGCAATCTTGTCGATGCCACTTAGTTGGCCAGTTGTAGAGTGCCGATGTTCTTTTTAAGAACGTTTTTTGGCACTATTGCATTATTACAACTCCAGTGGGGGTGTGATGGGTCAAAAACAAATAATTTCCGCTGAAAATTCCCCTACGAGGGTTGTCGAGGGTCCTGATTACGAATATGACATGCATTGTTGGCGATTGCCAGGTGACGCTACGACTGCTTCTCACCAAATCCGCTGTAAACTTGTGTAGGGATGATTTGGGGCCTGATTACAATTATGGCACTCGTTTTGACATTCGTGCTGTTCAACGCATATTTTCTGCTCCTCTGCCCCCTTGCACTAACTGATCGAATGGTTGATCAGACCTCGCGGTGGCGGTGCGAGCGGCGGGAGATTTAACAGGCCGGCTACCGACAACTCGGCGCCATCAGTCGTAAATCGCCTGCCGCTCGCACTGCGCGATCCGGATGCGGGCGGCGATGGTCGCGCGATTCACATCCCGCCCTAAGGCTGAAGAAGAAGTCTTGAGTGGAGTTACACTGAGGCAATACTTCGGGTATGTGAATCACAATGGTCTTCAGCCGCCGACAATGCGAGAGAGCGCAGGCGAGAGCGTGGACTGAGGCAATTGAAATGCAGAGTTCAAGTAGTCCGTCAACCTAAGCGACTAGATACGCAAAAAAGGCGACGCTAAGATAACGCAGTAGAGGAGGTTGAAAATCCTCTAGAGATTTTTTTGCTCGGGCTACCAGGATAGGGTCTAATCCGGTAAGGGGCGGGGGCACTGTGATGCAACGTCGCGTGGCTGCCCTGAATCCCCTCCCCCTCCCCTAGACTGCCTGCACTTCCCCTGGCTCAAGGGGGTCCCGTACATCAAGAAACCTGTGCGGCAGGGGGAGTGTAGGCAGTTTAGGGGGTGGGTGCTGAGGGCAGCCACTTGATGCCCCCTTACCGGATGAGACCCCCAAGATATTTCACTCCTAGATATTATGTTATCCTAAACTTAAATCTTGACTTTGGGAGCTTTTCGAGACTAAATACAAGATTTGGCAACTTGCCAACGCTTGAGCGCCATCGCCGTTCTGTCTGTATGACTCCCCTGGGGCGCCCCGCGAGCATACCTTACGGCTGCTTTCGGGGGCGCCATTCTCGAGGAGACCCGAATCGGGGCGTCGCAGCCCCGAACAGGAGAGCATGCCTTAAATGCTCCTGAACGAAAGGTACGCTAGCCTCGTGTCTCTCGAGAGAAAGGGTATGTTAATTTCCTTACCAATGGGTATGATCGAATATCTATAAGCCTGATTGCAGAAGAATCAGAGTAGATGTAGAATGAGACCTGTCGAGCTTATTTCCATATAAAAGATAAAGGAATCAGATATCGAAGTAGTACGGCTATCACTCGAATAAATTCGCCGGTCAGAAACGTTCCAGACCGTTGCAGCAACAATGCAGTTGACTTCTTATTTGGAGGCCCACTCGCACGGAAGTAATTTGAACCGCAGAGCATCTCATGACTCGAACTTGGTCATTCCAATACTGCGGAATGGTGCTCCTCTCGCGACGTGCGCAGCGTGATCTAGTATGGCCTGCTATCAAATGGAGCGTTCCTCGGGGATGGAGGTCCTCCCTTACGCTCTACGTCTCTGTTTGTTGAGGTCTAGAGCGCAGAGAAGTATGAAGCTCTGCAGAGCTGTAAGAATGCTTGGTACCGTTGTAAGCTGGAGCGATGGGATTTCATGCCTAGACCTAAGGTGGTAATTAGTATAGGTGGAATGTTGACATCATGCAGAACTTAGAATGGATGAGAACACTATGGGATACCATCAGACAGAGAGAGAGCGCAGACAGGGACGCATTTCCGCGTCATTGTCTGCGTCCTCTTTGTCTGTTAGCAAGTATAGACACGTTCCCATTGGGCAACATGCTCACCAGCACATTCTGTTGGATTGACGGAATGCGGTCATTTTTTCCTTTTTGAGAGTTAATTGTAAGCCGTGTTTTTTATGCTAAAAAATCATCACAGTCGTTCTCCTTCTATTGTATTTTACAACCAGTTAAAAGGAGCAAGTGGTACAAAACCATGACCACTCAATTTCCAACTTAACTAGACGTAAGGTGTAATTATTCGCGCGCAATGTTTTGTTCCTAACATTTGAATAACCTTTTTTCCTGAGCGCGCATTTTACATAATGTTATCTCATTTCAGTGGGTTCACTTTTAAAGCATCACAATGACAGAAGAATTGGTGAAATGTATGAAAGAGATGGAATACCTCCCTTTTTTCCTGAAGGAACGCGCAGAGAAGATCCGTGAAATCGATGAGGAGGTAAGCATTTGACAGAATCTTCGTAGTACTCGTTATTGTAAGTTCTTCAATAATCTTCAGTCTAGGTTAAACAGCTGAGCAGCAAAATAGAGCGCGAGTTAATTTCCGACATGGATACTTTATTACAGTTCTCGATGGAAGAGAAGACCAAGCTACATAATGAGACGATGGTGATTTCTTTTTCCAAATATCAAATTTGTATTCACATTCTTTGTCTGTAGAATGTTTTATACTTCGCGAGAGGGCGCAAGCGCTAAAGTCGTAATCGCCAATTAATGCCCTGATACACAATGACCTGGCTGTCTGCATCACGTGCCCTCAACTCCTTGTCTTTCATTCAGGGATACACGAACTAAATTATGGTATAAGTTCCAGAACATTGAGAAGGGATCATAACTGTCCAGTATAAAGATATCTCATGCTTGGTGCATGCACTCGGATGCTTCCAAAATGAACCCTGCCATTTTACGATTGACCCATGGCGCCCATGTCGAGCCCAGTAGTGGGTTGTGGTTACTGACAAAAACACTCAATCAGTACTCCAACAGTTTAGGTAGTAATGTGAGTTGCGTGATAATGGTTTAAACAAGAGGAACTTTCTTACTTCTTCCTTTCTGTTATTCCTTTGATATGGCAAAGTTGTTCTTGCACCCAATCGGCATAGACCATTAATACTGCACCCAGACTGCTTGTTTCTTGATACTTTTCGACTCTATTAGGAGAATTCGTGATCTTCATGGGAAACAGTAATATGAACCTGTTTCTTATCAGGCTTCAGTGGGAAATTGTTGCAATTATAGGACACGTGGAGCTTCACCACTTTCTAAGCCCTTCTCACACTGGTTCTCTATTCATTTTCCATTCTCCTTTTTGGATGAAGGCGTTCTTTCCACAAAGGAACTATTCGCTGATACATGTATTGTTTTCTCATTGACTTACAACCCCTCCATGTATTTAGTTTTCACCAGCTCGATAGCAAGAAAGATAAAAAATAAAGCGTGTAGTTTATATTCCTTTTCTTTTTTGCTCTTTCATATCTGCAAGTCCTTTTACACAACCCCATTTTAAAAAATTTGAGGACCTGTACGCTGAGATAGATAGACTGAGCGAACAGAAAGTAAAACTAACAACGGAAATGTATGAGGTCGTGAATCGGCATGCTCGCGAGATGGACGAGAAAATTGGTAAGTACCTACATTACACTGAAGTAATACTACTTGAATCAGTATCATAGATTTGTTGGTGGTTGTACGGCTTACACTATTATCCATTCTTATTGGTTTCAATTCAGCAAATGCCGAAGCGATGTGTAAGAAACTGAAGGAAGCATCTCTGAAGCCGGCTGTAAACACAGATGAACCTGTGTACTGTAGTTGTAAACAGGTCAGTATATTATACAACGCATAGGTTTGGGAATTGCCAGTTTTTCTCCTTGTTTATCTTTCATACCAATTCCTCCCTTTCGTACGACGTCAGTGATGAAGTACTGGTCCTGAAAGGCGATGCCCTGCTCGCTAGAAAGATTCTGATGATCCCTTCAGGCAGTTCGTCAGAAGCCTTACGACTATTCACCATGTACGGACATGAATATCAGTCCTGTGCTTTTGAACAGGCGACGGTAAAGATCTGCACGTTTTTTAGCTACACTCTTCTACTTGTATCGAAGGAAGAACTAGTAACGAGACAAGCCTGCACTACCCAAATATTGCCTTCAGGAGGTAAAGAGGACCGAGGCGTTTAAATTTCTTAAAATGCCTTTTGTGAAGCTCATTGAGCTCGAAATCGATAAGAAAAAATAATCAAATGGAAAAGAGACTCCATTAACGATCTCGTGTATTTTCCTACGCTGATGAACATTTCACGCATCTTGTACTCTTACAAGGGAAGGGTACTTGCTCGCAGTGGCCATTCAATATTTTATTTATTTATTCGAAATACACACAAAGGCACGCTTCAGTAGTAAACAAGAAATCAAAGCCAACTACAAACTCAAACAGCAAAACAAAAGTCGAAAAAGAACGCGCAGTAAGAGAAACCATACTCATAAGTGGGTACTCTCCAGACTACATATACGCCTCTAGAAATACTGTATGCCTAACAAAGCAAAAAGGTCTAACTTCCTTGATTTCGTTTCGAAAGCATCGATATTTCGCGCTTTTTGCAGGTCTAATGGTAACAACTATAGTCATTTTACTCCACGGAAGGTCTAGGGCATTGTAGAGATAACGAAGTGGTACGACCTGTGCACGGTCTGATTACCCAATACTTCCTAGGCCGAAGCTTGAGTTCGCCTTTCAGTATTTTAAAACAGAATACTATATTATTAAGTACTCTTCTGTCAATAATGTTTTAAGATTGAAGCGGGTCATAATAGTTCGGTAAAACACGTGGGTATGTTGTGTCAGGATGACGCCTATAGATCAATATTCTCGTGAAAGTTCATTGAACTTTCTCAATTTTTGCTTCAAGGCTCTTAGTGTGAGGGTTTCACATCAGTGAACCTTATTCGAGTATGGGAACGACATATGTATGCCTTATAGAGCCTAAGCAAAATTGAAGCATCGCTATACCGAACATTTCTAAAAGTGGCAGAAAGTGTTGCGAAGGCTTTTTGAATTACTACGTTAGTGTGACGCGATAAATCCAAGTTGGATTTGATAAGAAGCGCAAGGTCGCGAGCTTCACATGAAGTGTTCAGTGAAATGGTGTTGATTGTGTTTGCTTAGATTATGGCTTTTTCCAAATCAGTACAGACGTTTTCGTAAAGTTTATAATTATTCCCCAATCAGCCCACTCCATCATATTGCAAATAGATTGGGTTAGTCCTGGTGTACTCGATCATGATTATCAGTGCTGTAAATGTCATATATTTTAATGTCATCGGCATACATTTTTACTTTAACCAGGGGGTGTGTATTGAGATATGAAGGTAAGTCGTGTGTGTACGCTACAGATAACAAAGGGGACAATACGCCTCCTTGCGGGACAACGCTGGTGCAAGGATACTTCTGTGAAAAACTGTTACCCACTCTGACGCACATATGCCTATCTTTCAAGTAAGACTGAATCCAGCCAAGAATATAGCCTTCGATTCCTGACTGGTGAAGCTTGAAAAGAAGCTTCCCAAGGTCTACTCTATCAAATGCCTTGGACAAATCGAAGTAGGTACCCTCTATACCCTTCCCTTCGTTAATAGCAAGATTCCAATAAAAATGCAATCTGCCATCAGTGTAACTGTGGAAGCACTGCTAATGAAAACATGCTGATTTACAGGTATGAAAATGTTTCCCATTAGATGCGATACAATTTTATCGCATAATAATAATATGAGATAAATCCCGCCATAGATTTTCCAAATACTGATCTCAAATCTGTGTTCCACATCTGTTGAACGATTCTGGAAACAAAGTTACAGGACTTATTCCTTCCTGTGTTATACCATTGTACAGTACAGGTAACCGAGCCAAGGAAATGATGCTGTGGAATGGTGGCGCAGCTGGTAGGATGGTAGAACTGTGAGAACCGCATGAAGGGTCGAGTCCTTGATGCATACGCTGATTTTGCTTTTCATGAAATGCGTCTTAAACGCTTACAAAATGCTTTTGGGCTCACTAATGGCTAACTATGGAGCTCCCACACGTTTTAGGAACATTGAAAAGGTGCTCATGAGGAAGTTTTTCTAGCCTTTCACCGGCCGAGAAAGGGTGGAGTAAAAGAGAAATTCTAAACATTTGCTCGAAATGGGCTTCAGAGGCTCCAAAGCAAAAGGTGCTAGATGTTTCAGCGGATCAAAGCGCTCTTCAACATTTTACAAGCGAAATGTTCTGCCTAAAAGTGGAGTCATCGCAGTTGTTGAAGAGTTTTTGTTCTTACATCACAGCGTGGACACCATGTAGGAAGAAACGATGAAAAAAGTGTTCAGCAACCATATCCTTTGAATCTACGTGAACAACCTTATTCTCGAAAGCAAGAAAGATGAAAGGCACTCACAATTTTTTTCCTTGTGGTAGCCTGATGAGAACAGCCAACGACGGATCCATCACATCGCGGGAAGAACCTGTACGTTAGTGGGGATTCGAAGGTCTCTCAAAGTGGAACGTAAACTTCAACTTTACGGTTTGGCCCATAGGTTTCAGTTCGATCGCGCTAGTAGGAGAGTACATAGTCTTCTGAAGTTCGGCTGTCAGAAGGACTTTACTCCCTCGTGGATGAAAAACAATCTTGTTTCACAACGATCTGGTGCCATCTACAGAATTTAATGGTTAGTGGGAGATCCCGTGTGAGCGATCTCCCCGCATTCAACTTCTATTCAGAACCGTAGTGACGTAATGTATGCGTATTTGGCCTATACAATATCTTGCAGTGGCCAGCCATTGTACAAATCAGTTCTTGTATTTGCTTAGAGTAGTCTGGTACCAATTAGCCAACCCCGGAGTGGAAGGTTTGGTTGCCCTGAGCTTATATCAATCCGGGATAAGAACCCAAGACCATGTGTGTGAGATATTGCGCCCTTTAGCACTACATCACCTCAACTCCTATTCCCACTGAAAGACGCTGAAAATCAACAATGAAGGCCTTGTTGCCACACGGCTTCATCTTGAATCCTTTATTGTCTCTACAAGAAGGCAGCGGAGTGAAGTGGAAAACTCTTTGTTTTGTGAGAAAATGAAGATAAAAAGATGTTTACAGTCGCGTTAGGTTTGCTGCGCTGAGATTGCAACGTGAACCGCGGCAATACCTCCTGCTTAGACTGTTTCTTTGTCGACCAGCTTATACTTTTTTTGAGCGCTTTGATCTTTGTTCTAGTCTCAGGCGAAGCCTCCCTAGCTTTCTATGCTTCCTCTATTCGTCTGGTTGGCAGAAACGGGTGGTTTACGCTTGTGACCTCCATCTGTTTGCCACGCATCGCGTCACGAATCAACTTTTCGTCGATAGGACCAACTTCTGACACGACTGATGATGGTTTGGTGAACTGCGGAACTCTGGACACATCTCTGGACTGTTGTCGATTCTGAAAAAGTTCTTATCCTTCAATTTTTCCATGACGCTTCTTTAGCAATACAAGTCTTGATGCTCTCAACTTCGACAGGGTCTCTGGCAGAACTTCTATCTTCTTCTCCGCGGCATGCGGCTTCGTGACTTCATTCCTGAACTCGTTGCGTTGACGAATTTCAACCAAATGTGTTTAGTAGCTAATCTTCTGGACGTCAGATCTTGCATTTCGTGCTTCATAGTCGTCTTCCTCTATTCTCATAATCACGGCCAGCTTCGTGCCTTCGACGAATTCGGGGATTTCTTCATCTTCTAGTTCGAAACTTTCGACGTCCTGTGTAGTGCTTCAACCGTAACGTCTTCGAGAAATTCGTGGTGGGTCTGAAGGATTTCCACACACTGCAAGTCTTTTGCAGAGTTCTTCGAGTCGATCTTTCCAACTCTACATCGCTGATCCATCACTCTCTTCATAACTTCGATCCGTTCCTGCGTCTAGTAGTAAACCGCGGATTCCCGTCCGCGAAAATCTTCCCATGAATCCCTCTACTCCCCTCAATCGTACTTGAGAACCGGCGAGGAGCGCTTTTAATTCTTAAAGCTATTCCATTTGATAGCTTCTCTTTCTTTCTCGAGGCATAGCACTGAATCGATTCCGCGAACATTCCGTGAACTTCTATAGTAATTGCTCTTGAAGAACAGCACTGTCAATTAGTTTTCATTCAGCTCCACTAACCAGTGGATGGAGTGGTTGAAGGCGCTCCAAAAGACGTATCGCTCCTGTGCCTTTCCACTGAACTTCGGTATGGACAGTGGGGGAAACTTATTCACGGAACCTCTACATCTGGTGATTGGGACTGTGGTCCCACGCGATTTTACAGTTTCCATTCCTCGTAAATCAAGAGATAAGAGAAGGTGGGGATGCGCTAAGGCATGAGAATTGCAGCTGAAGCTCAGCCTATCACCAACATATTTCTTTTAGAGAATAAACAGTACATATAGACGCGGCAGAGCGAGAAGGATCCTCGCGACTCCGCCTTGTGAACGCCTCAGCTCGCCTTCGAGCGATGGAAGTAGCGTCTGACTTGCGCCCGTTTCTCCCCTTCTTTAGTGTGCACCATGCGCCTCAGATTTATCTTGATTTGTAAGTCTGATTTGGGCCTAGGTTTTCCCAAAATCCTCGTTCTCTTATTCCATTCATTTGATGCCTTTTTCTCTGAGAACTTCGGTCATTATTTGCCGGATTCACCGGAGCAAACAGATTCACCACCAACATCTGCCGACCCACTTAGGTGCGCCAGAAAAAAAAACCTAATGAACATATCCACAGAGAGCAAAGGAACCGTTGAAAACGTTTAAAACAAACTCCATCGTACGCAGCGAGTTTCAGCACCTGCAAAATGCTATTTCGAAGTGACCAGAACCGCAACAGCTGTACGATAGAATTGTGTCATCGTGTTTCGATCATTATATTTGCACACGAGCTGTTACGCTCTGGAAGAGAAAGACCGTCAATCATGCGTCAAACTCTTGTAATGTAACTCAAAACCGTCCAACTCTTATAAATAAGTGGTGCTCCAATTCTAACATTGTCTATTGTGCTCTTTCCATCAACTACTGTGCGCTATTCGAA